TGCTGCTGTGCCTCAGCTTCACTCCAGAGTTGTCACAGAATTTTCCACCATTTGGGGATGGGAGACAGAGGAACATGGCAAAAGAATAGGCAAAGTAGAGTAGTAAAGAAAGATGAAGATGGCAAACCCCAAAGAGTCTAAGGTTGAATGTTCCTTTGCCTTGACACAACTCCAGCACACCTCACCCCCAAAAGTGGTCCTGCCACTTTCTCTGCCCTCATTCACATCATAATTCCATAGGCTTTTCCCCCTGAGCCACTAGGAACTCAAACTAAGTTAAGTGTGAAGCTGGCCAGTAGGATTCGGAAGCTTTTATTCCCCGGGCCAGCTCAGAAAAGCAGCCCTTAGGTGGCCTTTTCAGAGACAGACGCATGGGGCCCTGGCTCCTCCGTGCTGTGCTGCAGCTCGGTGTGAGGCTGCCACCTGCTGATGGTTCGGACAAAGTGCCCGAGGCGCTGTCTCCTCCCAGGCAGGGAGGCTTCAGGAGGGGACGGGTCCTTCCCAGGAAGGATCCACCAATGTCGGGGAGGCAACATCTAACTGTGAAGGGAGTCCTGTGCTGCAAAGGGGAACCTCTAATAAATATTAATATTAATAATTATACTCACTAATGAAATTGAATGATATTATAGTAATTGAATGATATCAATAGTGATTGAGTAGTTAATATGCTTATTCAGCAAAAATTTATGTATATAATTATATCATCTCTCTACATATGCATGTCTTCATGTATATATTATTAGGTAGTATTCTCATTGCAACCCCACAGGTGAAATATTGTTACCATACCCATTTTTTCCCCATGAGGCACAGACTCGGAGAGCAAAGTGGCATGCCCAAGATCACGCAGCTGGTAAGTAGGAGGGTCCAAATCTGAACGCAGCAGCTCCCAGAGGTGTAAGAAGGAGACAGCAACATTTTACCTTAAACCGTTGTTCCAAAACAGAGATTGTCTAGAATGTTTTAAGAACAGGGATGCACCAGGACCCTTCACAGCTCACAGTGCAAACTCTGTACCAAAGCATGTAGACAAGACAAGAAGTTCCAAATCTGTTTTGTCCATCCTTCAGCAAGGTATGGCCCTCCGGGTGAATACCTTTGGGTCCCCCCACTTCCTTCTATAGCCTGGGGCTCAAGAGGAAGGGGCGGAAGGCAGTGCTGTCTGGCTGTCTTCTTCTGTCTGTGCTCTGTGCCCCGCATGGAAACAAAGCAGGGATGCGGGGGAAACAGGCTGTGGTGGGGCCTGCGGCACACAAGGGGGCTTTGAACAGGAGGTTTGCGTAGAGAGAGAGTCCATTGAGAGGCTCTAGCCCTTTGAATAGCACCAAAAAAAATTGAAATTCTACATTCAGCTTTTGAAAGGTTTCTGTTATAATCACCATTTATTTTATACCCATTGTTGCAACAGGTAGGATTTTTTCTAACTCTAAAAGGATGTGGAGAGTTTTAATATTGGCTGAGTTGATTATAACAAGAGCAGTGAGGTGTTAAATATTGCACAATATTGTAGAAATCATTGCACAATTTTCTGTAATAGTACACAATGCGTGTAAACTATTTCCTTTGACAATAAGTAAACAAGTATTCTATCCACCCAGGTGAAAGTCTGGATAAAAGTCCTGCATCACAGTTGAAGGAAGATTCTATAGGCAGTTCCTTACTTGCAAATGAATCAGTTTTCTAACAGGTGTTTTTTTTTCATTGGCTAAGTCTTTGTTATAAACCCCACACTACCTTGTATTATTTTTGTTTATATAGTCAAGTATCTTTTAGAAGATTTAGGTAACAAATCTTTAAAATGCACCCACACAGGGTTCTTTTCTTTCTTTCAGTATTTTAAGATGTTACTCCACTATCTTTTCATGTGGATTATTCCGATGAGAAATCTGCTGCCTTTCTTACCTTTGTTTCCTCCGCATATAATGTGTTTTTTTTCCTCTGGCTTATTTTAAGACTTTTCTCTTGATCATTGGTGTTGGACAATTTCATTTTGATGTGCCTTGTTACAGTTTTCTTCCTATTTCTTGCGTTTCAGGTTGGTTCACCTTCTCGAAACAAACTCTTCTTGGAAATGTGTTGTCCAAGTTGTCCAATGTGTCTCCCTCTTCTTTGGGACATTCCAGTTACCTGTGAACTCGGCTGCTTGGAGTTGTCCCAGGCTCACTGATGCTCTTTCGATTTTTAAAATTCCTTTTTTGTGATCTCTGTCTTTATTTGGAATTGTTTCTATGGCCCTGTCTTCGGTTTCACTGATCTTTTTTCTGTCGTCTCCAAAATGCTGTTAATCTCATCCAGTATAACTTTTACCTAAAACACTGTAGTTTTCATCGCTAGAATTTCAATCTGGGTGTATTTGAATATCTCATAATCTCTACTTAACACATTTAATGTTTCTTCTGCTCCTTGAACATATGGGTGATAGCAATAATCAGTGTTTTAATGTTCCTGTTTGCTAATTCTCACATCTGTGTCAGTTTTAGGTTCATTTCAATTGATTGATTTTGATTTTTCTTCTCGCCATGGGTCATCTTTTCCAGATTCATTGCACACCTAGTAGTTTTCATTAGATGCCAGATATTGTGGGTTTTGCCGGTGGGTGCTAGATATTACTGTGTTGCTATGAATATTCTTCAGCTTAGGTCTGAGACACAGTTGAGTTACTGGGAACAGTTGGGTCATTTTAGGTCTTCATTTTAAGAGCTGTCAGGTGGGAACAACACTCACCCGAGGGTAGATTACTCCCTGAGGCAAGACCCAGCTGCCTGCTCTGTCCTGCCAGTGCTCCTTGGAGCGAGGGGCTTTGGCCTCTGGCTGGAGGGAGCAGGCACTATTCCAGGCCTGGGCGAGTGTCGGGCATCATGTCTTCTCATCCTTCCCCGTGCTCCTTTCCACAGTCTTCTGAGTTTTCTCATGTGTGTGAGCTGACCAGTACATGGCTGCGTACTCGAGGGGGCCCCTGCCGAGTTCTCTGTTCCTGCCGCTCTCTCCTCCCCTGCCCTGACTCTGTGAGCTTGAGCTGGTGCCGTCCTTCCAGACTCTCAGTGCTGCCTCCTCAGCCCAGGGGTCTCTGGCCCTGTAGCAGGGCCTGTAAATGTTGTCAGGGTGACCACAGGGCTCACACTATCTGTGTTTTTAATGACCTGGGGTCCATATTCCTGAAACTGTATTTTCACAGACTTTGTCCAGTTTTTTTGTTGTTTAGGTAATAGGGAAATCTCATTTTTGTTACTCCAGCTTGCCAGAAGCAGATGTCTTGTTTAGGTCTAAGACTAGTAAGTATTACTTTACCCTTAATTATGTGACAAGATATAACAGCTGTGTGAAAAGACATTGTGTCCTCAAAACTTTGCTCAGAATCCCTTCATCTCTCTAGGCTTCAGCCATCGAAGACTGACATCCTCTGACTTTTAGCTATTCATTTTATTTGAAGGGAATTCACAAATGTGGAGTTTATAAATTTTTAATTCTACAAGTATCAGCTTCTTTCTGTCTACATTGACCTCAGGGGGAGGCAACTGGGGTGTGGGCTGGTAGGCACCACACACTGCAACCCTGGACTCTGTCTCCACTTTGTCAGGAAAGGCTGGTCGGAGGCAGTCCTGCAATGGAGGAGGCGCTGCTGCCCTTGTTAGTGGGGCTGTCCTTGACTGTTGGATCTGGAATACACAGGCAGAGACTGGGTTGTTCATCTTTCCCTTTGAAGTCTTCTCCAGTAGCTAGTCTTTCACGCCAAGACAAATTGCCTACTTCTCACTTAGGTACCAGATATCCAAGTACTGCATCCACCAACCATCAGCTTTTCCCTTTAGCCCACTCCCCAGACCCATGCCCAGTCCTGTCTTCTCCTCCTTCCACTTTTGGTATCACGAGGAAGCTACATTCCAACCACCCTCTTCCTGAGACTTCCTAGTCTAGCTCATACTGTAGTGTAGCTGAAAGCATTTCTCATTAAAGAAGAGGGGGGAAAATCTTACAATTTCATCTTCAGCTGGGTAACTCCCTAGCAACCACCCACTTCCCCCACTCCCATTAACATAACTGGATAGTTATGTAAGAAGTTACAGACAGGCTGAGAATTTCAAGATGGTCATCCTTGGAGAGTCGTTGCCTGCCCACATGCAACATTGCTCCTTCTCTGCCACTCCCTGCCTCTTGGAATGACAGGAGTAGCATTGTCAGATGTGAGCAGGGACTGGTGGTCATCTAAGCAGAATCCAGATGAGGCTCGTAAGGGGTTCCCAGCCAACATTTAGCCCAAAGAACAAGAATACATATGTCTTAGTCCATTTGGGCTACTGGAACAATACCATACACTGGGTGGTTTAACAACAGAAGTTTATTTCTCACAGTTCTGGAGGTTGGAAGTCTAAGATCAAGGTGCCAGCAGATCCCACATCTGGCGAGGGCCTGTTTTCTGGTTCGTAGATGCTCATCTCTTGCTGTGTTCTCACCTGGTGGAAGGATGGAAGGACAAGGGAGCTCTCTGGGGTGTCCTTTATAAGGGCACTAATCTCATTAATAAGAGCCCCGACCTCATTACCAGATAACCTCCCAAAGGCCCTGCTTCCTAATACTTAACCCCTATCAGGGGTTAGAATTTCAGCATATGAATTTGGAGGAACCACACAGACATTCATTTACATACAGACATATAAATTGGGGGTGTTAGGGTTTATTTTTAGCATGACATGTAAGGCATGTGCATTTCCTTCTGGATTCTCAGTACAGATCGGTTTCACAATCACTGTTATTCTAAGATGTTATTCCCTCTCCTCTGTTTCATGCTTTACTCCTTGTGTTAGGAAACCAGTGATGCAGTTTCACATGGGTGCTCTGACAGTCAGTGGGAAATCCTTAGAATCACCTTTCTCATTTCTCCTTCCCCTCAGCAGGCATTTGGAGGGTCTACGGCACGTGGGGCCCTCAGAGGCTTTGAGCCCAGTTGTGCTGGCCCATTCACACTGTGCTCACCCTGGCCTCTCTCTTTCTTTCTGCAGATGCCACAGTGAGCAGAGCAAACAGCTGCCAGTCTGACAGCAGTGGGTTCCTGGAGGAGCCACTGGAACCACCGGCCTGGCAGGTTAGGTGGCCACGCAGAAGGGTCAGAATAGTGTGGGAGGAGTTACAAGTTCCCAGTGTGCGGCTGCAATCGGAAAGGGCAGCTGGTGCTTAGAAGACAATGCCGTAGGCCTCCAGAAACAGGGACATTAAACAGGGTGCTGGGAAGTTCAGCATTGCTCTGCCTTTTACTTTCTTTTAATTTTACTAAACGAGTAAGCTGAGCCTCATGACAGCAATGATAAGGGGAAAAAGAAAGCACACGTTAAGCCTGGTGCCTCCCTGACCTTCCTGACATCTTTGCTTCCACCCTGGTTTCTTCCACAGATGCCTTTCTTGCCTGCAGGCCAGAGCCCTGCTGAGGATGGATGCACAAAGCCAGGGGGTCAGAGCCTGCGCTTAGGGTCAGCCCAGCACTGCCAGCGAGACTCAGAGGAATCTAGCTCCAAGAGCAGAGCGAGTACGTCCTTTTCCAGCCAAGACTGGAGTGTCTTAGAAGACAAGTCCCTAGAACCTGAGGTGGAGAAGGAGTCTCAGCTGGAGGCCATAGGGGTACAGCCAGGATTGGGAACCTCAGATGTGGCCCTGAGCTGGGCCACCACTGGAGGAAATCGCCCAGGGAGAGACAGCCACCAGCGGCAGCTACCACCCGTGCCCCAAACTCAGCATGAGGCCAACATCAGCAGGACTCCCTGCCAGGGTGATTGTCCCCTGGAGTTCCTGGTGACCCACGCGGGTGAAGGGTTTCTGAGGCCTGAGGGAGCCAGGGAGGCGCATGTGCACAGCCACCCCTTGGATTCTCACACATCCCCGGGAATGGGTGGTGTTCGAGACAAGTCCCTGCCTGCCAGGTCTGAGGCCCCAAGAGGAGCAGGAAGCAGTAACACCTGTCCTGACTTCAGCCGCTGCTCCCAGACACAAGGAAGTCCACCCCCGCCTGTCCCCAAGCCCAGCGCAGTCGGGACCTCTGCAGTGGACCTTAGTCACACATCCGAAAATGCCATGCCCCATCTAAATAAGCTGTCTGGGGGTGCTACTCCTCAAGCAAAGCCAAGGTGTGGGGCTTTGCACCAAATACCACCCCGGGCAGAACCTGAGCTGGGAGCCCTTCCTTCTGGTGCTGACTCAAACGCTGATAGCTCCAAGTCGGTGACAGTCCAGATGTCCTCCAGTCTGGTGTCAGCTGCTCAGAGTGCTGTGGCCTGGGGGACTCATTCTAGAAGAACAAGTTCAGAAGGCACTGTGCATGACCCTGTTACGGTGACACAACCAGTTCTGGGGACAGAAACCAGACAGTTCAATGATGTTTCTGTTCAGACTTGTAAATGGGAGCCCAGGTCCTGGTGCTGCTGTTTGGTTCCAAGTAACGAAGCCCAGCCCCTCACCAAATCCATCTCCCTAGACACCGGCTTCCCCAGTAGCTGCCCGGTGTGCATCTGCTGTGCCGCACCTGCCCACTGCTGGGGCTGCTGTCATCACCATCCCCACTGCCACTCGGAGGGGCCGAGCCCCGGCCCAGTGTCCTCGGCCTGCAGGCACGGCCCGCACTCACATGGTCACCTGGAAGCCCAGTTCATGAAGACTCTGGAAGTCCTGCAGGACACCGCAGTGAGGGAGCTGTGCTCTGTGAGTGTTGATCTCTGTACAGGGGGGCAGGGCGCAGATGAGGTAACAAACTCCAAAGGGGTGATGTTTGGCCTGCCTTCTAAACATAAGCTCTCGGGGTGTACCTTCCCATTGCAAATCATGAGTAGTGTTTGTGGAGAGCTTTATGGTTTATGGTCTTCTCTCACAAACGTCTGCTTATTTTATACTTCCTGTTACCTTGTGAATTAAGGAAGGCAAATTATATTATCAATTCCTATTGTACAAAGGGCTGTAGAACCTTACATACATTCCTATGGAAGGTTATAAAGATTGCTGCATTTGAACCTCATCTACAGTGCAGTCTAACTAACCAGTTCTCTGTCTTACAGTCACTTAGCCATGTGATCTCACAAGCCAACCAGTGTCTTTGAGCCTAGCTCTGAGCATCCCCAGCAGTGTAGAGAAATCTGGCCACTTGAAAGAGTTGTTCCTTCTGACTTAACTCTGTGACCTATAGCACTTCCACAGGAGGTGAGGGCTTCTGTGGCCCAGCCTCAGACTTGTGTGTAAGTCTTAAAAGAACAGGAGTTTGGACGAGTGTGCATATCGCCATCCCATGTCTTCTAATACCTGGTCTCATGTCAGCTTAGCCCTCCCGCTTCTTAGAATTTGCAATTATACCAAAAAAATGACATTTTTATATCAAACTGATTTAGCATTGCACATCTGCTGAAATGCATACTACATTGGGTTTTACTAGAAAACAATGCATTTCTCTTTATTTAAATCCAAGGAATCACAAACATACACTCAAAGGAAACAACCAGATCACACATACATGTGCGTATTTGTACTCCTATGTACACACACACACAGGCAGAAAAGCAAGTGAAAGTAAGGTATTTCATTCACCCCTGAAAGAGGCTATTTAACCAAATGAAAGAGCAGGCTCAGGAACAAAGAGAAGAAACCTCCACAGCGAGCGAGCCTGGGTCTGCAGGCCTGAAAAATATTCTGGAGAAAAACAGCTCCACCTTGGATGCCGGGTGCTAGCTAAGGATAGAAAAGTTCATAACTAATAAGAAAATTGTCTGGAAAACAGGTCTTGGACCCAGTGGAGATGACAGGCAGAGACCGGTGCCGTCTCTCACATGGCAGTGGGAGTTCCAAGCAGATGCTGAAATTAAAAGCGCTTTCAGTTGCAAGCTCAGGAAAACCTCCCCACCGCACCCCTTTGCATGGCGCAGGTAACAGGAAGTATAAAATAAGCAGACGTTTGTGAGAGAAGACCATAAACCATAAAGCTCTCCACAAGTGCAGAGAGGGACACACTTGGCTGGTCAATGCCATTTCCATGATCTGGGCAGTCCCCTGAGACAGTGGTTTACTGACACAATGAAACTTCTGTGTATAAGTGAATTCTTCACAATGATTTGTTAATTTAAAAATTTTCCAGAAGATATATCATTAATTAGGTTTTTGGCATTAAGAAATTCTTTTATAATGTTTATGATTTAGATTTAAAGAAAAAAGAGCACTCACAGTTGAGCCAGTTCAAAAGTTCATTGTTTCTTGGTGGCGTGGCTCTGGCCATTGAAATTGTCCTAGTAGCGTAGGCCAGTAAAGCAGACCTTGCGTGATGTGGTGTTCACGCAAAAAAGAGTTCAAAACAGTCCCCTCTTTTATTCATTCATTCATTTGCTGAAGGTTTTCTTTTTTTTTTTTTTTTTGGAACTACTTCAATGCTTATTCTCGAGTTCAAATGTATTTTCAGTGTTCCCAAATGGCCAGGAGATGGCAGTGTTTCAGAATTTTCCACATCATTCCCTTTATTTGGAACCCCAGGCCAGGTATCTCAGCCCCCACCCGACCTTCCAAGTACAAAACCTAAAATAACTAGAGGAAACAAACCACTCAGTAATGACAATGTTCAGCCTACTTGAGCAGCCTATTTTCATATCCCTGTTCTCACTGGCCGTGGAATGTTGTCGCCCTGTACGAATCTGTTAGGACCGCATATCAGCTCACTCTGAAGGGACAAATAACTTCTCTGGGTGGCCAGCCACACTGCAGTCCCTGCTGTGACTCAGAGAGAAGAAATGACCCAGCAGGCTTGGGTTTGACATCTGACTGCCACGTTCTGACCTGGGACAAGTTGGTTAACTGTTCTGAGTCACAGCACTTATCTCGAAAAGAAGTCCTTCTCAGTTGCTAAGATCTTATGTGGCTTGAAGAGCCACAATTGCCACCTTTCAGACACTCTTGCCAACACCAAGAATGCCTCAAACATGCCTCTAACGGACTCAGGTGCCCTCCCTCACACAGAAGCAAAGGTGATAGAGAGCTCCGCTATACCAGCATGTTCTTCCACACAAAAATTAGAGGATAGAATCAAAACCAAACTCTCCAAGCAAAATGATGGAGTGCTTTCAACAGAAAAACAGTGTTCCTGGGAAAATAATTTTTATTATAATTCCAGTTTTAAAAAAATACATCATCAGGCTGCCAGGATCTTGACCGTGTGGGTTTGAGGAGAAGGATAAGAAATCTGGGGCTTCATCAAAGCAGGGCTGGGTGGAATTAACATAGCCCTAAGACTGGTTTCCATGGAAAGAGGAAGAAAGGTTAAAAAGAGGCCTGTCTGAGAAATCAGTTTCCTTTCAAGAGCTTCCCCGAGGTCCAGCTTCCTGCGTTCCACTTTCATCTCATTGCTCCCCTGTGTGCAAGGAATGCTGGGGGATATAGTCTTTTTACTTAGACTCATTGCTATCCCTAAAATATTAGAGTTTGCTAGTAAGAACGAAGGGGAGAAAGATAGTGGGTAGGCAACTAGCAGCCTGTGCCTCACCAGTCAGAAAGGGGGTCCAAACCCATGGGCCCGGTAGAGAGAGCATTAGGCTCCAGCCAGTTTTCATGTCGCTCAGTCAGGTGGGTAGGGATGATGGGCTCTTGGTCAATGGATCCATTCAAAGCACGGTCCAACCTGGGCTGGAGAACGAGATGCCTGGTTCTCAGGCATCTCACAGCAAATCAGCAAATCATCAGAGTGCTTGACAAATGGACAGGGCTGCAAGGAGATATTTAAAAAGGAAACCAAAGCACACAGAGAGAGTAAGGGTTAAAGAGTGATTCTCATTAGGAACGGTGCAGAGCAGGCCTGGGAGGATGGTTCAGTCCCTGGTTCCAGTTCATGGCAGGACAGGTGCCCAGCGGTGCCTGCATTGCTGTGGGTGGGCTTGTTAGGTGGCTGGAGGTGACCCTGGATTTCGATCACCAGGGACTGTGGTTAAGCCAAGCTAAGACCAATAAAAAGTATTCTTAGAAGACTTTCTCTAAATAAACATAACCATCTGAACAAATGTGTTCAGTGCTGTTGAGGTTCAGTGTGAGGCAGTGCTCAGCTGCAGTTAAACAAGGTAGACTCAACTTCTCCAACCACACACTTGCCCTCTGGCCATCTCCCCCACCATTACCTACAACCTCCTATCCCTATGTCACTGGTCCCCCAGACTGCCTTCCCACCCATCAACTTCCGCCACCCTTCTTTCTCAGCCAGTGCTGCCTCAAGTGGCTCGGAGAAGCCCGAGGCTGGGCTTTCCCTCTTCTCTCCCCCACACATTAGCAATACAGCAAAGCTGTGGACCCAGGTGGAATGGCAGGCTCCACCGTGGTAAACTGGCAGTGAATCAGATGCTTGTCCTTCTGAACTCTTTCTGATTGTTCTCAGTGCACAGCCCACGAGATGGAAGCAATGAAGATGCTCTGCCAGGGTTTCCGGGAGCATTTAGAGGAAATGGAGCAGCACCTTACAGGACAGCAGGCACTCTTTTCCAGGGACATGTCGGAAGAGGAAAGGTAATTATACTTTCCTCTGAGGGAGCCATAAGGGCAAGTACCAACCCACACACCTGAACCCAGGAAGGGTAATCAGGGCGGGACAGAGCAGCACCCAGGAGCCACTGGCCAGCTTTGCCTAGGTTTTCACGTTCTTGTTTTCTCATGGGAGTCTTTGAGAGCCATTGGCTGGACGGCCACATGAATTCTTGACGGCCAGGGCTCTCTGAGGTTAGAGGTGGGCTGTAGCTGGGTCGAAGCTCTGCCAGGACTAGAAGAAGTCCTAGCCAGCAGGGTATCTTTAATCAATGCGACGGTCTCATATAAGTATGAATGGCAGGCTTATGAGAGTTAGAAAACCTACATTATTATCACATAGATTAAAAGTGCATAACCCAGAAGGAGATGGGTAGTCACCTGAGGTTGGGGATGGGACTAGGGATCACCTGTAAAAAGCCATGAAGGTCCTTATTGGGAAGGCAGGAGTGTTCCGAATCTGGGCGGAAACAGTTGCCCAGCTCAATATATTCACTAAAAATCATTGAATTGCACTCGACGTAGGTAAACTTCATGATGTGTAAGTTACTCTGCAACAGAGTTGTTCAAAAAGAAAAACCCTGCCCTGGTAATACACCTGTGTCTGTAACCACTACGAATAAAGAAGGGGACACTCTCTTGCGAGAACTATCAAAGAAGTGACCTACATTTTGAGAGGAGCAGTGGAAGATGGCACTTGGGTGGAGGCAATTGTGAAATTTGACTTCCTATTATTTGCTGGCAGGAAGGAGGCGGAGCACCTGCAAACTTTACGCAAAGCCCTGCGGCAGCAGGTGGAGGAGCTGGAGTTTCAGCTAGGAGACCGGGCTCGGCAAATCAGAGGAGGGATCCTGCTGGTACGGGGCAAGCGGGTGTGGGGTTGGACTGCGTGCTGCCCACATAGGCGGGGTGCGTTCAGTGGGAAACTGAAGTGTGCGGTCATTTCCGATTCCAGAGCTGGGTACCAGCCCCTTCGTTTTAAATATAAAGAAATTAGAGTCCAGAGAAGTGCATGGGCTTGCTCGTGGCTGCATGGCTAACCAATGGTGATTCAGGATTAGAACTCAGGTCACCTGACCCCGTGCCAGTCTTTCTCACTGCCCCATAAACAGTGGTATTAGCCAATTTTCCAAATGAGAACAAGAGACACGCAGCTTTGGACTGAATGTGGGCTCGGTCACAGCCAGCACCTGCTCTTAGCTCACACACCCACTCTGGAGAACCCACCACCCATCCATGCCTCTCGTCTGAGTTAGCTGTTTTGGTGTGTCTATAGAAGGTAAGTCATCCACTCTTTTTGTTGTTGTTTTCCTTTTAGCAGCTTGAGCTTCTCACAGGAGAACCCCCTGAAAACTGTACAAATCTGCACCAATATGACTGGACAGAAGACAAGAAGGGCCAGATTCCACATGCCCAGGCCCACCCAGCCTTGTCCCCGGGGGCTGCCTCCCCTGCCGATGACAGCCAGCAGGCTTCCTGCCCACATATAAGCCATGGGGCTGCCTGTCCTCCACCCGCCTTGGAGCGCCACACAAGGATGTCTCCTCCAGCTCGGGAAGAGTTAGGTGCAGCCCTTTCATCCCAGCATCCTGTTGGAGAAAAGGAGACAGATATCTGCCTCTAGGTCAGAGTGGGCTTGATGGCCTTCCTGCAAAACGCAAGAGCACGTTCTAGCCGGAGAAGGATCTCTAAATTTTCCCAATGACACTTACCTCTTAGCCTGTTATTGGCTATGTTTAAAAACATTCTACCGTATGGCTAAACCTGGGAGGATCTCAGAATATTCTAATTCTCATTCATTACAGAATAAGTGAGCAGCTACTGTGTGCCTGGCAGAGAATATGTGGCAGCCCATGTAGGAACAATTAGTCCTCTCTTCTCATCAATACCTTCTGTGACTAGAAGCAAAACGTATAGTGAAACCAATTTTGCCACAGGCCAATTTCTATAAACAAGAGTTAAGCTCCCATGGCATTTAATCAACACCATAATGAAACGATGTTGAAAAAAAGGCACGTATTCAAGGATCTGCTGTATATCTCAAAGTACATACAGTGTACGGTCCTCGCCCTGCTCAAATCTACTGTCCTCTTGGGGAGAGAATATAAATAAATATGTATGAATTGAAAACCTGTGTGAAAGTGCATTGAAGGAAATAACAGGGTTTATGAAAGAGAAATGCAGCTGGGAGTCTGTTCAGGCCGGGGGATCAGGAGGGCCTGGTGACAACGGGAGGTCCAGGCGTAAGGGCCGGCCAGAAGCATCAGTGAGGCACCGACCATAGGCCGGCGAGTTTCCTGTGCTCGGGACAGAGCTGTGAACAGACAGACGAGGTTTCTCCTCACAAAGACTTGGATGAAGAGTGAAAAACAACAAATAATTCCCACCCTGACCAGTGCCATGGTGAGGACGAGCATGCGGTGTGGGGTGAGAAGTGTGCACAGTGGTCAGACTGGCCAGGGAGAGCCTTGCTAAGGCAGGTGAGGGAGACAGAGGAAGCCGTATGGAATTCTGGGGAAAGAACCATCTTTAAAGCAGAGGGAATGAGAGTTTCAGGCCCTGAGGCCGAAACAGTGAGCAGGACTGAGAGCCTGAGAGATGGAGGAGTGGAGGGACCGAAGTCGAAGAGGTAGGCCACAGGGCTGGCTGGAGGCTGGGTGCCAGGGCCCTTGGGTAATGAGCTGTTTCAGTTTCATACAGGGTGGTCATGTGATCCGATTTGCAGTAAGAAGTCAGTCATTGGCTGAAAGCGGCTGCAGGAGCACTAATCAGTCCCCCAGTCTCATCAGAGAGCTCTGTGTGCAGGAAGAGCAGGATCCAGCCCTCAGTCCAGGCACTGCAGGGAGTGGCAGTGGGAAATCTCATCAGAGCAGGGAAAAAAGTACTCAGAGAGGTATGTGATATAATAACTAAAAAACTTCATTGTCCAAATACACCAACAAACCACTGCAGGTTTTTGTCTATTGCTAATGTCTATTGCAATAGTTTTTCTACCCACTGGGATATAACTTGTAATATTGAAGTCACACATAATGTCCTCTTGAAACTATATCTGCTTCCCTCTTTTACCTCTATAGGGACACGTACCTTTTCCTTTGTGTCTCTAGTGTACCCTGTGATGACTACACCCTTAACTCCAGTGCCTACATGGCCCTTAATTGTTCATATTTCTACCTTCCCCTTGTCTTCAAAGTACATTTCTTGAAGGGAGAGATTCAGTCTTTATCTTTCTGGAATCAGCCAAACATGGTTGGGACATTTGGTGAAAAAAAAAAAAAAACATGTATTTTAAAATATCAGAACTGATCTCATGACAAAACCGAGTGGTATTTTCACTGGGTATGGAAAACTGCATTGACAATATTTTTCTTTCAACACTTTAAAAATATTATTCCACCTTCGTTGAATTTATCCTACTTGAAGTTTGCCAAACTTCTAGCATTGGGAAATAGATGTCCTTTCCCAGATTTGGGAAATTTGCAGCCATAATTTCCTCAAATATATCTCTGCACTAATTCCTTCCCCCTCCCTGTCCAGAGCTGTAATAACACTGATGTAGACACTTGTGGTACTGTCCCACAGTTCTTTGAGGTTCTGTTCTTTTTTTTTTTTTAATCAAAATCTTTTTTCTTCTGTATTTTCCAGATTGGATCATTTTTATTGATCTACCCTTAAGCTTATCGACCATTTTCTTTCTCATTGCCATTCTGCTTTTGAAGTCTTTCAGTGGACTTTTTTATTTCTGTTATTGTGTCTCTCAGTTCAAAATTTTCCATTTGGTTCTTGGGTATACCATCTATTTCTTTGCTGAAAAAGCCTACCTTTGAGCTCCTTTCAGCAGTATTCACCTTTGCTTCATGGGTAATTATTATAAGAGGTGCTTTAAAATCTCGATCAATTCCCACATCTGGGTCATCTTAAAATTTGCATACATTGGTTACTTTTCCACTTAAAGGTTGTTACCTTTTTCTGGTTCTATGTACATTGAGTAATTTGGGATCATATCCTGGACATTTTGGTATTATGCTATAAGATTCTTTGTTTGTTTGCTTACTTTAGTAGGCAATCAACCAAGTTAGGCTCAGAGCACAGTCCTGACCCACCTGTAGGCTGTGGTTCCAGTGTCCACTTAGTTGCCACTGCCTGTCTGTACCGCCTGGCCTACCCCATGTGTGCCCCATCCAGGGCTCAGAATGAGACTTGAGTGGCGGTCTAGCCTGTTTTCAGAGCCTTAGTATGTTGCTTATGGTCGAGTTCTATGCATTATAGCTCGTGATGAGTCCAACACTTTGTGTGCAGCTTGAAAGGGTCCCTTTCTCTAGATAACTCCTTTGTGTGAATCCCCCCACCTTCTCTGACTCCTATGGGTTTATCCCCATGGCTCTGCCTAGAAGAACATGGTTTTAGTATCCATGGAGCGTAATGAACTTCCTGAAACTGGTCCGCCTGTGGGAAAAGGAGCTGCTGGAGCCCCTCCACCCGATGCCACCCTCCCTGCCATGGACATGCCCCACCCTCGGGGTGCCGGAGCAGGGCTTGGGGAGCAGAAGATCTCTTTTTCCCGTCAGCTCCTCTCCCGACTCCCTAGCCTAAGACAGAGGATTTTTCTTGTAGTTTTTTCTGTTTCACAGTTTCAAGATTCAGGCTGCCCTAGAATCTAAGCCAGGGAATATGGAAGGAAAGAAGCTCATCTTTGTGAGCTGGTTCTTCAAGTTTTTTATTCTCTTCCCCTGTTGTCTTGCTAATATATAATTTTAAGCAATTCAGATAGTTGCTTTGTATATTCTGTTCAGGACTTTTAGTTGTAATCGGTGGGAAAGATAAGGAGAAGCACTCACTCTGTCTTAATCGAAATTCAAATTTGCCAACCTGAATGATTTTAATATTCTCTTACTATATCAAAAAATGCTATCACTTGTTTTGTATATAAATCACACAGAGAAACAACAAACATGTGTAGTAAACATCATTATCCCCCTTTTAAAGAAGAGGAAACAGACTCACGGAGCCTTGGTGGGTTGCTTAGTGTCTGGAAACACAGGCCTGAGCCAAGGCTGGAGCTGAACTCGGAGTCGGTCTGTAGCCCAGGCCCACCAGCTCTGCCACGCAGCCCAAGGGGACTGAGCCAGAGGTGCTCGGATTACATGTGAAGATCAGGTGGTTATCTTCTCGGAGGCCTGTGTTTTCCTAGCTTTCAGCATTGATTAGGTCAAGTTGAAAGATGTACTTATGCACAAGGCAGGTTGAGATTTAATATTGCTTTGTGTTGGTTATTGGGCAGGTGTTTGTTTAAAGGAAGTGGAAACAGGTGTGTGGGCCTGATTCAATTACATGATGGAGGGGAACACGCTGATCCATGGCCATTTTCAAGGAGAGATGCTGATTGTGCTAATTAATCATTTGTCTGTCAGAACATAATAGAAAATGATGTTCCAGTTACCATTGGTATGGAACGCGGACTTGTGTGTCTGGCTCCCTGGCAACCAGATGCAACTGTTTGTGATGACAGCGATTGAGATGCAGTACCCAAGTCCCCCCGGATCGCCATGTCCAAGATCATGCGAAGGAAAGGTGTTTCATAAACTCTTGCCAGCAGTATGGGACATTATCCAACAGGAATCATTTCTCGAAGGAACTGTTCCTTCAAAGAGATTAATTGAGTCCTTTTAGGTCACAAAGGCGTCCCAGAGATGCGGCTGAATGGAACATTTTCCCACGCCGTGCATTGCAGCACTCTACCCCCCCAACCTAGACGTTGATGCTCGTAACGGAGCTTCATAGTAACACTGTATTTAATGCTTTCATTTATCCACTTGCCACCCAATAGCCAGAGTGTCCTTTTAAAAATGTAAATCAGGTACGTTGCGCTCCTGCATAAGAATTCCCAGTGACTTTTCAGAACATTTATATTTAAACCCCAAGATCTGTACTGAGATCTACAAAGCTCTACACAGCTCCCCCTGCACACTTCTGTGATCCCGTTTCATACCTCCTTCTCCCTCCCTCTCTTACTGTGAGTCCACTTCATGGATCTTGCTAATTCCTGAACATGTAGGCGAGGGGTATTTTTACTTCCCGGGCATTATTGCTGCTGTTCTCTCTTTGCATTTGTTCTTCCGTGGCCCCCAAACCATCACAGGGCTGGTACATTCTCATCCAGACCTCCGATCAGATGCCACCTCTTCAGAAAGGCCTCCGCGGACAGCCCCATACTCAACGGGGCTTCTTCGTACATGCCTCTGTGCACTTTCCACCCAAGGACCCTGCCTTGCTCTTTGCTGTGCGTTTGTTTTATGGGTTATTATCACTCTATTTGTCTTTTTGTTCAGCGGCTGTCTCCCTTACTACGACATGCACTTTGTGGGGAAGAGACTTATCTGTCGTCTTTCTACTTTCTATCCTCAGGCCTAAAACAGAAAAGAATTTGGTGAGTGAATGGACAAGAGAATTAATTCACTAACTAATATATCGACATTAATAAACACTGGCTACCCATAACTAAGACATAGTCTCGTCCATCAAGGAATTTTTAGGTTGGGGAGGAAAACACATGTCACTGGTCATCTGTTCATGCCACCTCTTTGTTTATACCTTGCAAAAAATCCTCCCACAGTGAGGTTTTAGAGCCTGAGAGCCTCATTTTCACCAGGCAGTAGAGACATTGAGGAAAAATTATTAGGACCACATGGCAAGTCTTTAATGAAGTTAATGCAACCCGAGCAATAGTTTCTTCTGCTTCGGAATTCCATCTCCTTTTAAATTAAAGGAGTTGCCTCTTGCCTGCAGGGAAGCCAGCCATAAAAGACCAAATATTTTATGATCTCACTGATACGGGAAGTTCAGAATGATCCAGTCTATAGAGACAGAGTATAGACGGGTGGGTGTGCAGGGCTGGACAGGAGGCCAGGGAATGGACGTGACTGCTGACCATAGCACAGAATTTCTTTTAATGGGGAAGAGAAATATCTAGAAATGAGATTATGGGGATGACTGCACAATTCTAAAAATGTGCTACAAACCATGAAATTGTTCACTTTAATTGCTCTGTGTTTAAATTATATCTCAGTGAAGTGTTTTTTTAAAAG